CATTATTGTAATATGCCGTCTGTCTTTCTGCCGAGCCAACGCCCTGAAAAACCCTTTGTACCCACCCTCACATCCACCCCGGACTGCGATACCTGCGAGCGATGCCAGCTGCCGCCTCATAGCCGATCACTACACGCGCCTGCGCACTGCACATTTTGTCCTCCCAATTCTCTCAGAACCGATCAATACACGCGCCTGCGCACTCACTCTCATACAGAGTCGCCCACTCGTAACTCTCTGTGCATGTGCCGCGCAGCATGCCTTGCCGCCTAGCAGCCAAGCAGCCACCCTATGATCCGTATCCCCTCCCGCTTACCCCCCTCGTATCCCCCATACTCTTACTCCCCCAAAACTCGTAACCCCCGATACTCTTACTCCCTCCCCCAACTCGTCTCCCCCTTCCCCCAATACTCGTCTCCCCCCGCGGAACTTGTGCCACTCCCCTCTTTTGAATCTCGATCGCTTACTCCTGATCATTGATGAGAATGAAGACGGCAGACAGGCCAGGTTGGCATAGCGCTTGCTGGCAGGCAAGCCAGCCAATTGCGCAGCACAGGCCTTGAGTGCCACACCCACGCTGGGATGGCGGGGCTTGGCGGCCATTCTGAAAGAGAGGTACACCGATACAGCAAGCGCCTATCGCCTTGCAGGAATTTAAGCGTGCTAAGCAACGCTCGCACAAGTTCATACGCTTTGAACATCATGCGCGCACAGCTTTTGGCAACCTGGCTGAATCCGACACGTCGCTCCAAGCGCGACTCATCGATCAGTTTCGCGACGGCATTACGTCCCACTTTTTAAAGCGCCTTCTTGTGTGCAAGAAACCTCTCCTCTACGCACAGGCAGTGCAACTTGCCTCGCAAGAGTCCGTCTTGGATGTTGAAGTGCGCATGCACTCGCACACGGTACCGGACCCACTGGATGTTTCAAACGTTCCAGTTGCTACAACAATGGAGCAACCACTGCGCGAACTTCCCAACATTGTCGTCCAGTTCACAAAGAAGGCGGCGCAACCCCAGCAAGAGCCGCAGCTTCCGCCGCCCCAGGCTCGTCCGCAGTATCAACAGCCTCATTTTTCGCCGCACTAGTATGTATCCAATCGCCCCACTGCTACCGCACGGTCATATGCTACCCACCCGTCTTATGCACCGTCTGCGCCCGCCGGCTCACAAACGATGCGGCCGTCTCGTTTCCCTAATTACCGCGGCGCTACCCCATCCTTCGCCTGGACCCCGGATGGCACTGCTCTTTGCCATTTTTGTGAGAAGCCCGGCCACTATTGGCGTGAGTGCCGTGCACGCCATGATCGCACCGCTCACTGTACCCAGGGAAACGCCCGGCCAGTTGGAGCCATAGAGCTTATGGCACTTTTCAGTATTAGTTTGTAATCCAGGTGGCAGCACCTCCTGGTTATTGTGGGATAGTGTTCTGGGCATATGGTTCTGGGCCTGCGCAGACGACAGCCACGAGGAGCCTCTACTTGGTGAAGGTCATGATGGTGTTGTGTTGATATTTTGAAGACATAATTTCTAGAATTGCTAGGCTCCATAATGTTTGTGAGTACAAGTTTTTGTCGTGTTTAGAGTTAACATGTTATAGGTTAAAGTAACCAGAAGCAGCACACTCTAATTCATGCAATTTGTGTGAAAGTGGGTTTAATTCCCAAATGGAATTTCACTGTTTAGGACCTGGCAGGTCGTTATAAGATTGGCGACATAAGCGATATTTCACTATACATTTTCCTGTGTATAAGGGTCCGACCGAGACTGGCTACGTTTGAAATGGGTTGAGGAATGTTGATCGTTGTACTGTTACTATTAGGCCCCCTAGACCAAGCTTGGTTGAAGAGTTCGTGTGAATAAGGATTGTTGTGGCACCGTGTGGTGACTCCCACTGGTTTGTAGTTTGGGAACTAAAGTTTGGTTTGTTTTGTATTCCAGTCAATCGTTTTAGTAGGATTAAACGCATATGGAAAAGGAGATTAGTTGTTCTGTATTGGAGGTCAACACCACCTACATTTATTGAAAAACAAGGATAAGGATCGGCTGCAAGGTACCAAAAGTCAACTCTTGCGTATAGGATCGACAACGGTGATAGTCCAACATGGCCACAGGCGGCACAGGTGAACCGGGTCAAGTTCGGAGGGAGAGAAAACTAACTCCCAAAGGATACGCGTATGAGCTGGACTGTAGGATGAGGAGACGAGCAGACGAGTACAAAGCACTAAGTCATCTGTCGAGAAGGCTAATCGACGATATTGATATTTATCGGAAGTTCGTAAACAATACTCAGTATAGATGCGACACTACGAAGAGTTCATGGTGTCGCATGGCAAGTGCCAGGAAATGCGGAACGATACTGAGACCGAGGATGATTACCACGGATTTTATGAGATTAAAGGGGCAGGGGCAGAGCATAATCGACCAGGCGAGGTTGGACCTTGATATAAAGGAAAGAGAGCTTAACTTGAAAACTGAGATCGCAGTAGTTGACGCAAAAACCGACGTGCTGATCAAATTTGGGGACGAGTTAACGACCGGCAGTGGGTTACGCGGACACATTAAGTACGACGATGTCACACTTCAGAGCGATCTACACACGATTCGTGACAACGCGCCCAACGTCGCCGGTAATATTCGCGTTTCCCTGAATAGCGACGCGGAAAGGTTTGTGCCCGCGACCGGGTTACCCACAGTAGATCCGGAGCCACGTGACCACGTTAGGCATGACGTCACATTCCAGAATGACAATGTGCGCACCTTTCCGAATCGCGACGTGGAATCGTTAGTGTCCGCGACTGGCTTAACCGCGGTCGGTCCAGCGTTACGTTATGCGTCACCAGGTGGATTTGTCGGTGGGAGCTCTGATATGTTGGCGGTAGCACGAGAGCTAAAGAAACCAGCTACAGACATTTCAAAGTTCAGTGGAGGTCCTATGGACTATAGAAGATTCCTTCGACAGTTTAAAACCAGAATAGTCGCAAATACAGACTCATGGGACGAGCTATTGAATTTTTTGGAGCAGTTCACCGCGGGAGAAGCGCGCAAGATTGTATTGGGATACGCCCACTTAGACGCTAAAGTTGGCTATGAAGCGGCAATGAGAGAGTTTGAATCTAGGTACGGCGACTCTGATGTTATAGCGCGTGCCTTTGTTAGAAAAGCCCTGGATTGGCCAGTGGTCAGATCAAACGATGCCAAGGCGCTTGATGAATTTTCTCTGACACTGACTGAGTGTCAATATGCAGTCCAAAGTGTGGACGCCGCTCGAGTGTTCGAATATTCGGACAACATCAGGTTGCTGGTGGGTAAGCTGCCGTATTACCTCCACGATAGATGGCGAGGGATCGTGCAGACCACGAGGGAATGAAACCAGACGGTAACAATTGACTCGTTCGTAAGCTTTGTACATCGCGAGGCTAAGAAGGCAATAGATCGGGTCTACAGAAAGGACGTCATGGGCACCGCGACTGCTACGTCTAGCAGTAACGCCGGTGGTAGACCGAGCGGGAAGCAGGACTAGCGGTGTCGGTAACCACTGTAGAGGCTGGTACTGCTGCCGGGGCCAGAGCGAAGTCAACTACAAGGGAACAACAGTACAAGAAAGGACGTTGTCACTTCTGCGACGATGAGCACTTCATCGATTCCTGTTGCAAGTTTAAAGCTAAATTGCACACCGATAAGATTGACTTTTTAAAGGTCAAAGGGCTTTGTTTTGGATGCCTTAGGTTTGGGCACCGGAGCAAAGATTGTAGGATTAGGCTAAGTTGTAAGATTTGTAGTAGTTCACACCCTACAGTTCTGCATAAGGTTCAGCTTCAGGAAGCAAATGGGGAGGACACGGCTGGGTTAAAGGTAGATAGAAAGGTGAATGTACATTGCGTCAATGGCGCGAATCCGGTAGGATCAATGGCAGTAGTACCTGTAATTGTCAAGGCAAATGGTAGGTCGGTGGAAACTTATGCATTTATGGATTCGGGTAGCTCGGCTACTTTCATTTCTGACGAGCTGTTGCATCAGGTGGATCAAAATGGGAGAAGGACCCAGTTGTTGTTGTCAACCATGGGTAACAAGGAGCAGTCTGTGTCCAGTCATATTGTGTCTGGGTTAGAGGTCACAGACCTCCTTGGTAAGAACACTGTTTGCCTACCCAAGGTGTATACTATGAGTTAGTTGCCTGTTTTAAGGGAGGAGATACCGACCCAGGAAGATGTCAATAGATGGCCGTACCTTCGCAAAGTGAAAATTCCGAGTATTACCGCAAATGTTGATTTGATATTAGGCAACAATGTTCCGCAAGCGTTGGAGCCATGGCGGGTTGTAAATAGTCAGGGCAACGGGCCATTTGCCGTCCAAACCGTGCTGGGTTGGGCAGTGAACGGCCCGCTGAAGGGTAGCGCTGATTCGGTGGGTAGTCCAAGGATCTCTATCAATAGCCAACAGATTAGTGATTGCGATTTGCAGAAACAGGTGAAAGGCTATTTCAATTTAGACTTTGTTGAGCGTCCCCATGGAGCGAAACACGGGTACTCCGTCGAGGATAGGATTTTCATGGAAAAACTCGAGAAGAGCGTCGTTTTCAAGGATGGGCATTACGAGATAGGATTACCGTTGAAGGACAACGTTGCATTGCCGAACAATATATCTCATGCGAGACAGCGCGCTCGTTATTTGGCGAAGAAGTTCGAAAGGTCCGACGATAAATACTTCAAGGACTATGAGGCGTTCGTTAACAGTTTAGTGAACAAGGGCTATGCAGAGAAAGTGGATGAGGCTGAAGTGAATCGCGATAACGGGAGGGTGTGGTATCTGCCGCACCACGGGGTGTACCACCCCCACAAACCCGATAAAATTCGCGTCGTCTTCGATTGTGCCGCCCGCTACCAGGGTGTGGCATTGAACGATAAGCTATTACAAGGGCCAAACCTTACAAATACATTAGTTGGTGTACTGTTGCGCTTTAGGAGCGAGGAGTAATCAATTACTTCCGATATTGAGGCAATGTTCCACCAAGTTCGGGTGCCACTGGAGGACCAAGATATGTTGAGGTTCCTGTGGTGGCCCGAAGGTAACGTCAATGGTGAGCTTTCTGTGTACCGTATGAAGGTGCATATTTTCGGCGCGACATCGTCGCCGAGTTGCGCGAGCTATGCGGTTAAGAGGACGGCAGAGGACAACAAGGATTCTTACCCCGCTGAGGTTATTCAGACAATCAAGAAGAATATTTACGTGGACGACTGTTTAAAAGCGGTACCGAATGACGAGAAAGCAATAAGCTTGGCCAAAGATTTGCGCGCGGTATGCGACGACGGAGGATTCAAACTAACTAAGTGGGGAAGTAATAGTAGACCCGTGCTGCAGACAATACCGGAGGAGGATTTAGCGAAGGATGTGAAGGGAATCGATTTAGAGCGGGGTAGTCTGCCTATAGAACGAGTTTTAGGTGTCGAATGGCTGATGGAGTCGGATACTTTTAGGTTCAGAATAGTGGTCAAGGATAAGCCAGCCACCAGACGAGGGCTTCTGTCCATTGTAAGTTCTATCTTCGATCCCCTCGGATTCGTGGCACCATTCGTACTCACAGCCAAGGTGCTTCTGCAGGAACTCTGCGACATGAAGCTCGGCTGGGACGAGGACATTCCTCCGGGTCAGAAGGCCAGGTGGCTAGTTTGGCTCAAGGATCTTCCTAAGTTGGTCAAACTTCGCGTGCAGCGATGTTATAAGCCAGCGGGCTTCGGCGCTATAAAATCGGCCAAGATTCATCACTTTGCCGACGCGAGTGAGGTGGGTTACGGATCGGTATCTTACCTGCGCCTAACCAATGGCGACGGTAGGGTTCATTGCGCTTTCTTGATGGGAAAGGCCCGAGTATCTCTGCTGAAACGCGTTACGATACCAAGACTCGAGTTGACGGCGGCTACCGTGTCCGCGAACTACCAGTATGCCTCAATCTCAGTTCAGGTGGCAGACCAACGATATGCTGCAGTGCAACATGAACCAAAACAATTTCTCCCACTCCAAACCAGAGTCATACAACAACAAGGAACCATACCCTGAAACTTTTATGGAACAGTTAACAACATAGTGGTGAAATCTGCTAACCCATTCGTTAGTCTTGTCTGCTGTATAAACATGAAATTTTTGTTTGGTATGAAAATATATCTTTATGTAGTAAATGCCTCTTCAGAATATGTCTGTCAGCGTTTGTATTATGGCCTGTGCATATATTTGACATGTAAAAACGAAATTATACATTTTCCAATCTATCTCCGGTAGTTTCTTCTCACAGGACTGGAGTACTGAAATAATACAATCAGTCATAATACAAATATAGCAATAATGGCAGTGTACGGTCGATGCTCCCAACAGTAAACCTTGCTTAACTCGGACGGATGTTTTTAAAATTACGCAGTATCTTAGAATTAAGGTGAATTCACAATCTGTACTGTAGCGTTAACATAATAGTGAATTTGTGTTACTATTGTATTATTTTATATTAATCTCTGTGTTAATATGATAAATATGTTCACCAAACACAAGTTTTAGTGGGATATATTTGTGGCAGCCTGCTGGAGTTACGGTAAGTGGTGTACACTGATTGTTAGGAGTGCTAAAGGTTAACAGTTTATCACTGTCGTATAAGTCGAAAAGTCTACTTATATACGCCGCAATTTACGGTACTTTTTATGTCATGTATTGTCAAAATATGTTTATGTATTATGATAAATAGATGTCTCAAAGGGATTTTTTTGCAATAAAAGCAATACATTATGGTATTAAAACCATTGCGTTTTATTATTTGTTTCTGGTGCCATGCCCACTCCATTTACATGCACAGTAAATCTAAAATCTCCTATGTCTTTACATTGACTACGTCACGAATTTTCTATGGTAAAATATTTGTTGCCATTTTTTTACATTAAAATTAGGTACTAACGGGACTAAACGTATCGTAAAATTCTTACCTGATAAGATTGTTTTACAACTAGTTAAAAATCCAAAAAACCAGGACGATTTGATATTAGGTTCCTAACATTAATTGCTTGCTATGGGCTATGTAGGAGTCACGAGTGCATGTTCACATCGAACAATATAGTAAAATAGGAAGTATAATGCAGCAATTTAACCATCAAAAGTGAACAGAATTACTTATATTTTGTGAAAAAGTAGAAATGTATTTTTTATTTTTACTATTTACCGTGACAAAAATACATAAGAGAGAAGTGTGCATAACAAACTGACATTCATTCGGTTGGTAGACTAATGGTAACTAGTGGCAATTCTCCAACGTCTGAAACGAGAAGACAAAATTACTGAAGCTCAGTACAAGTTCCTGTATCCCACGGCTGTAAATGTACCAAGAATCTACTGCACACCTAAAATACATAAAGAAGGCAACCCGTATAGACATATAGTCGATTACACAGGCTCCATAGCATACAATTTGTCAAAAAGCTTAGCCGATCTACTGGCCCATTTGGTAGGCACCACCGATCATCACATCAATAACTCAAGAGAACTAGCAGCGGAACTAAAAACCTCTAAAACAAAAAACAACATCCCAAAAGAAAACCTCCACGGAGAAACCGAAGGCGATGATCGTCCTACCCTAAGGCGTCACGGACGTAGTTCAGCGTCACCTAAAAAATGCAGGTGTGGCTTCAACAGTGAGGCCGTGTAATTGTAACTCTAAAACGGCTGTTGATACACCCTAAGGACAGAACAGATATGCACAACATTACGGACTGTGTCTACAAGATACCGTGTCTAGTTTTGCAATGTGTGGAAAAAGTTACATTGGAGAAACCAGCCAAAAATTTGAAACCCGCCTAAAAGAACACAGAAGCACCCAAATCGTTCACAAGGGCCCAACGAAAACAGTCGGCTACCGAAATCGCCAAATCCACGATCACTGACCACGTAGCAAAGGACAATCACACCATCGATTAGAAGAATTCGAAGATCATCGATCGCGAGCCTATCAAAATCAGGCGTTGGATTAAGGAGGCCATCTGGAACTTTATTATTGTTTTTGAGTCAAGTATGTGGCAAGATGATATCTAATGTTTCGACAACCAACGTTCTCTGAACTGGGAGGTCCTGGGTTCACATGTAGGCCAAGCTCATTGACGGGTGGTTTCCACTCATTCCGGAATTGTTCATTGAAATTTTCGCAGATATTATGCAGAACAACACAAGCTCCAGCAATAGTGGGCACTCTAGTGACATCACAGTCCAGGCGTTTGAGTAGAATTTTCCATCGACCTTTTAATCTGCCAAACGCATTCTCCACAACTACACGTGCCCGACCCAGTTGATAATTGAATGTTTTTTGCTCAGATGTCCAGCTACCATTATCTGTATATGGTTTCAGTAACCAGGTAAGCATGGGGTATGCTGCGTCCCCAAGAAAAAATCAAGGGGATGGGTTTACCATTTATTACTGTTTCCCAATTCGGAAAGAGCGTGCCATCCGTACCGTCATTATAAAATGACGAATTGCTGACGATGTTATCTTGAACGCTGCCGAGGTATCCTGTGAAAGTATAGAGAAATCTGTACCGATAGTCAACAACAGCAGTCATATTTACACTATAATATCCCTTACGATTATAGTAGTCTTTGTGATCCTCCTGTTGAGCAATTAATGGGATATGGCTACCGTCGATGGCACCACAACATTGGGGAAATCCCCATTTAAGTTCGAATCCAGTTATTATTTCCCTTAGAGCATCTCCGGTGGGTACCTTAACATACAACTCGGTTAGTTCAATCGGCGCCAAGCATGTTTGGTTTGTTATGTGGCAGGCAGTCGATCTGGCAATCCCAAATAAGTGTCCAATTGAATGGAATTCAATATTTGTACTTAGCCGCCATAATGTGATTGCAACTCGTTTTTCAACAGGAATTGCTTTCCTCGTCACAGTGTTCATCTTTCGTACGACATCTTTTAGTGCATTGCATATAACCTGAAAATACACAATAAAATTGTTTAGGAACTGTTGCAACAAGGAGCAAAGTCAAGTGTTTTTTTTACATTTCTGAAAAAGAAAATAATAACTTGAAGAACTAGCCTAATATTCACATTAAGACAAACATACAGGCACTGGAAAAACCCTGAAAATCAAATGTAATCAAAATATTTTAATAAATAAAAATTACTCCTTCCTTACTGGATAGTGGAGAGCTTTCTGAAGAGATTGGGACCATATTTTTTAAATGAGCAAAAGGCCTACCTCAAAGATCCATTTGGTAATTCTAAAATTCTCCAACCAGTCGTCATCACACCAGGTTTTCATTACTGTGTTTTCAAACCAACCATACTCGCGATATCGTACCCACACCCTGCGTGGTAACTTCTCGATATGTTTGTTTTCATCACAGAAATATCTCAGTAACAGTTGTGACTGAAATATAAAAAAATTCCGTCTTTGTCTATTTAACGATTGATAAAATCCAGTCCGGCGTTCGTGGGCCTCCTTTTGATAATCGTCTTAATCTCCAAAGCATTCGTCATGTTCATCTGGATCATCATTTTGTGTAATTATACTGAAGAATTGCAACAAACAACTGAGTTTCATGGGCAGCGCCATCATAAAAAACACTTCCCTCTAGTGGAAAAATTAGTTACTATTATACCTAGCCAGCTAAGCCGTGATTCATTATACCTTGCTTGCTAAGCCTCGCATCTCGTGTGAACGCTCCGGGTTGTGTTAGCGCGGTATTTCAGCCGAACTCAGCACCAACGTTTATTTCATTTAATAATTTCATTTTCCTTTAGCTTTTGCAGTTTTTACCCGATCTCAGATCATCTTCAAATTTGGTATGAAGGTGCGTTATGGTTAAGCGAAGACGCCAATCGTTTTTGGTGTGGGTGGAGTCATCGTTGCCTTGGTAACAACATTTTTGTGGAAATATTGTAGAACCTGTAACTTGTGCTGTTTTTACCCGATTGTCATGGAATTTTGGCACACAGGGCTGATATAACATGTCCTATATATATATATATATATGTATAGCTGCGTTCACACGTATACGCGGCCTCGCTGGTTCCGTTTCTTCTTCATGACTGAATTCATCATCTTGCAGTTGCTCTGTGTCACCTCTCTCTGCCTCGGCGCCAGGAGCAATCTCTGCCCAGCCATCTTCTAGGCGGTCACCCTGCTGCACAGCAGACCAGGCCTCATCTATTTCCTCAGTACAGTGTTCATACCTGTCCATGTTCTGAACCACAAGATCAAAGATTTTGGTCACAGCTCCATTGAATTTGATATGATGACTCATGAACACCTCATATGTCTCATCATCACCCTTCATCTGCTTGCCACGATGTGGCATGTACATCCTCAGTAGTGTACAGAAGTGGCGTTCACTGTCTTTTGTTTTGGAAACTTTTAGGTAGCGTATCACTGCAGGTGTCTTCCGTTTAGCGACAGCACCCATGTTGTCCTGCAACATGATCACAGTGCTGCTGTCAGTGTCATGCTCTGTGTCACTCTGGTCATCTACGTCTCTGCTACCTGTCACGTACAAGTCTGTATTGTGCTACAAAGTCAGCAAGACACATCTTGGTGAACTGAGTTTGGCTCGGTCGTGCCCAGTACCGGTCCATGATGGACTTTTGGAAGACATCTGTGGTATCTTGGCCCTTCTGCTTTGCTATGTTCCTCAGAACACTCAGCCGCAGAGTCATTCTTGTGGATTGTTCATCTGCTGGGACCCAAATGATCTCTCTGCTGCAAGCTTTCAGTTTTATCCCTGCCCCCTCCAGATGGCCTCCATGATGCTGACCTCACGATGTGTGACATAGACCTGCCCGATGGTACAAAGCTCCTACTTTTTGGGGGTGGTCAAATCCATATTGCAATGCTTTTGCATCTAAATATGCATTTGCATGAAATGTGCCAGTTCCTCAGCTCCCAGATCTGGAAGCAGCTCTGCCAAGTACATCGTCTTCTGGTTGACCAACATTCCTTAAAACAACCAGACAATGGGTCTCATCTTCACAAGCACTAAACATCCTTCAAGCAATGAACAAAAAACAACGAGAACTGTTT